GAGAGAGACAGCGTGAGCAGGGGAGGGTCAGAGAGAGAGGGAGTCACAGACTCTGAAACAGTCTCCAGGCTCTGAGCTGGCAGTCAGCATAGAGCCCGACGCGGGGCTCGAACCCACGAACCGCGAGATCATGACCTAAGCAAAAGTCGGATGCTTAACCGACCAAGCCACCCAGGCGCCCCTCTATTGGGTGGTTTTATTCTAATTTGTTTTCAGGAATTCTTTATATACGACTGACTCTTGAACAACGTGGGTTTGAACTGCATGGTACACTTACGTGCAGAGTCTTTTCAATAAGTACAGTACCGCAAATGTGTTTTCCTTATGGTTTCAAGTAATGTTTTCTTTTTTTAATTTCATTGTAAGAATACAGTGTATAATACTTAAACAAAATATGTGCTAATACTTTATGTTTTCAGTAAGGCTTCCAGTCAACATAGACTACTAGTAGGTAAGCTCCTGGGGAGTCAGTTTAACGCATAAAATAAAAAATTCTTACCTCGAGTTTTAGTTGTTCTGGGAAAGGTTTGTTGGACTAACCTCACACGAATCACTCACAGAAAGAGGAAGGTGATTTTTTTTCTTATTCAGCCACACATGTGTAGTAGGGTACCCACCATGCCTGCCCTGTGCTGGCTCAAGGGAGGTGCGGATGAGCGTGTCCGGCATGGCCTCGGCTCTCAACGGGCCACAGCCTGCGGGTAATGGTCACACTGTAGCAGGATTAGCACTATGGATTTTATGAGGTGCTGCAGTGGGGGTGGACTGCGGATGAGAGACGAGAAGGATTAATTCCATCTTCCAGCGAGTGAGGGAAGATTTTGGAAGTGAAGGTAGGGGAAGCCTGTGAGCCAAGACTCCTGAAGAAGGAATAGGAGCTTGTCTGGTGAACATTTCCCCCCTTGGAAACTCCAAGACGATGCGTAGACATTTTTAGTAACTTGGAGATACAGAAAACATTGAACTCCTTAAGTTTGGCTAAAACCTGCGAAGCGAGGCAATGTTGTCTTCTTTCAGAGCAAAGGGGAGGTGTTTTAAATGGGGAGGGGATGTGCATTCTCCAGTGTCATCCTCTGACTCCTTCTTTGGGGATCTAGGACTCGAGACTGCTGAGAAGGAGTGGATCGGCACTAAATAAGCCGGGTCGGCCTGCTCACCCAGCACAGCCTTGTCTGCACATGCACATGTTGCGTGGCCCATTACGCCAAGACGGCCTCAGCTCCTTCTTGTTTGGGTTCAGGCAGTGTTAGGATCAGAAGATTCTTTCTCGAGGTTATTGGGAAGAGACAGCCTACCCCAAGAAACTCAGGTAGAAGGAGGACAGTGTCGGAGGGCAGAAGTGGACACCTCCTAAAACACCTGGGGGCCCACTTGGGTTCCAGAAATTGTCCTGGAGGTTAGCGGAGAAGAGGAGGGCTGGGTGGGAGCATTGCTAAGGAAGAAGGACCAGCCTCACAGCATGAGTGGAAGCCAGAGGAGTGAAAAGGTTTGGAGCAGCCCACGGTGTTGAAGAGAGGTGTCAGGTGGGGTCCTCGAAGCCTCTGCACACGTCTCCCCTCCCCTTAGGCTCTTAAGAGACTTGGAGGGCCCTGGGGGGCAGTGATGCAGACATGTGTCCTGGTGAGAGGCCCATTAGGGACTTGACTTTGGTCCATGGCGGTGCTACCTTGTGACGGTCCCCGGTTGGGTGTTCTGCACAGAGGGTAGACTGAGAAAGCACCCATTGCTGTTGGGGCCTAGTGACATAGGCCAAACATGGACAGGGAAGTGGTCAGAGAAGTCACAGGCCCCAGCAGGAAAGGTAGCATGGGCTTTTTTAAGTACAGGAGAAAGTCATTAGGCAGTTTGAGCAGAGACTTGACATGGTCTGTCTGATTTACACCTTTAAATGATAGTTCTTGGGAAGGGACCATAGAAAGCTCAGCGAAGAGGCTGGGGGACTAGTGTGGGCCATCTGGCCATCCTGGGGTGGGGGGGTGGAATTTGGCAGAAAACAAGGTCCTCACATTTAGGCAGTGAGCCATCGACACTCATTGAGTCTTGGGCAAAAGTTAAACTCAGGTCCTGGGACAGTTGTTTACTGTTTGTTTGCTTTTTAAATGTATTTAACTTCACATTTATATGTCTCTAATTACTTAAAACATGCATTCTATTCTAGAAATCCTAGAACACATGGAAATTTAGGAAGGAAAATGAATGAAGTCTACATAACCCTAGTAGTGTCTGCTGCTCACCCCCGGGTATTTCCTTCCTATTTCCCCCGGGTTTACAGGAATCTAGGCTTGGGAGCCTTCAACATAAAGAGCTGGTCTAGAGGGAGTGTTCACGGGTTAACTAAATGTAATTAGTACTGAGCTTACTCTCTGTAGGCATGTTCTAGGTGCTGTAGTAACAGTGATCAAAACAGACCAAAAAGAATTTTGTCCTCCTGAAGTTTATATTCTCATGGAGTGAGTAGACAATAAACAGAATAAGTATGTAAAGCAGATGTTCTATTAAAGGTAATCAATGCCATATAAAGCAAACCAGCTCGAAGCTGTATGGGACACTGGGGCATGGAGAGGGGAGGCCTCACGGGAACAGTGACATCTGACCATGACCTCTCTGACCTCATGTTGCATAGAGCATTGAAGGAGCATGCACCTGGGAGAGCCTGGGGTGCAGGGGGGTTAGCCTACTATTCCATGGATCTTTTCTGAGAGGATGTCGGGTGGGAGAAGACCGCAGAGTGGAGCAGTAATACTGTAATATCTCTGCATGGTGGTGGTGGTGATGGTGGTGATGGTGATGGTGATGGTGAGGATGGTGATGATGATCATGGTGACGATGATATTTATGATGATGGTGATGGTGATGAGGATGGTGATGATGAGGACGGTGATGGTGATGATGATGATCATGGTGACGATGATGTTTATGGTGATGGTGATGGTGAGGATGGTGATGATGGTGGTGATGATCATGGTGATGGTGATGTTTATGATGATGGTGATGGTGATGAGGATGGTGATGATGAGGATGGTGATGATGGTGATGGTGATGATGATGATCATGGTGACGATGATGTTTATGATGATGGTGATGGTGAGGATGGTGATGATGGTGATGATCATGGTGACGGTGATGTTTATGATGATGGTGATGGTGATGAGGATGGTGATGGTGATGATGATGATCATGGTGACGATGATGTTTATGATGATGGTGATGGTGATGAGGATGATGATGATGGTGATGGTGATGATGATGATCATGGTGACAATGATGTTTATGATGATGGTGATGATGAGGATGGTGATGATGGTGATGGGGATGGTGACGATGATGTTTATGATGATGGTGATGGTGATGAGGATGGTGATGATGGTGATGGTGATGATGATGATTATGGTGACAATGATGTTTATGATGATGGTGATGATGAGGATGGTGATGATGATGATGGTGATGTTGGTGATGATGTTTATGATGATGGTGATGATGGAGCAGATATTTTGAACATTTACTCACCCTTTCATCTGTATAACTTCTTTGGCCCCACCCCATAATTCTGTCTTCCCAGTCCTGATTTCTGAGGAATAAATCAAGACGCCAGAAGTTCAGGTCTGTGCCTGAGGCCACATGGCTAGTGGATGGTCGTGAGAAGGTGGACATGGCTGAATTAGCCGCAGTTTGTTTGCGATTGGTACCTGCTCAGCCTTGGTCGGTATTTAGATACAGTGGTTGTTTTAGCTCTTGGCTGAGGGCCAATGTCAGGATCCCCTCCTACCTCCTTACCCTCCTTGTGCTCAGAACGTTTTCTGAAGCCATGTCTTCCTCCTCCTGCAGTTTGGCCACTGCTTCGTTCTGTGGCCCCATTGCTACTCTCACAGAGCTTCCCTTCACCTGCTGTTGAGCTGGCATCCCTGGTTGTGCGGTCCCCCAGAAGGGAAGCAATGGGAGTTTAGTGCACTTGCCCCGCGTAACCTGGCCTCAAATGACAGACATGTAACTCTCTTCAGCACTTCTTCTTTGCCCGTGTAATTAAAACCTAATTGTTCTTTATAAGTCCTGGGGAGATTGTGTTTTCTTGTTGCTGGTGTTTATGGTCCATTTTCTAATTTTTTCTGTCATTTTACACTGTAACATTTGACTCTGAAAATGATCTTAGAGATAATAATAGTTAACATTCACAAAACGCTTATAGTGGGGGAGCCAGCCTTGAGCCCCAGGCTCTCCTGGATTGATCCCCTCTGTGACATGGCACCTTGGGAGGGTCACAGGCTGCACAAAAAAGGAGGCTTCTGCAGGAGGGAAGGAGGGGAACTGGGGTGACCCCCACCAGGAGGTGCTTCAGAGGATGATATTAACAAATGTGAACATACTAATTAGTTCTGTGTAGTAGTCGTAAGGCCTGATACATCTCATTTCTCAGAGCAGACTCATACTCTCTCTTTCTTGACATATCATATAAACCCTGTCAGATAGATAGGGAAAGTGTTTTTTTCCTGTTTCACAGATGGTGATTTAGCTGGGGTGTATCAGCTGCTCAGTGTATGCGCGGCACCTGAACCTCAGTCTCCTAGCTCCTGGTTTAGTCATGCTTTCTGGCTCCACGCTTCGACCTGCGCTTGATATAGAGTGCTGTTGTGTCATTTCGAGGGCTTCTACGCTACAGAGGTGTCCTTGTGCTGAGAGCCCAGCCTCCATCAGGCATTGTCGAAACTGCCTGGTACCAAACAGCCCACGTACTAGAGGTTGTTACAGTCGTAGGGTCTTTTCCCGCAGTTGGAATCCAAATTCACTTGTGTATCAGTTGGACTTGTGGTTTGTCTCCTTCTTGACCTCATCTTTGTCTCTATCTCCTAAGTCAACTGGTTTTTAAAATTAAGGTTATAGTCTTCACTTGTGGGTGTAGGTTTCACCCCACTCATTATCCAGAACCTTCTCCCAGGCCATTATCGTTTTCCATCCTCTCTGGAGAGGGGTGGGCCCAACTCAAGGGCCAGGCCCACAGCTCGATCCCTGAGCCTTTTGATGTAGCTGCACAGCCATCTGCCATCCCTGGTTACCCAGACCACGGCGGGCTCTCGCGTGGCGACGGCCTTCCTGCCTGCCGTGCCAGCAGGGCACCCTCCACCCCACACAGAAGCCATCCCGGGCTGTTGGTAACCACTGTTACCACCTGGGACATTGCCTCACTGCCAGCTTCTCATCTTGTTTTAAAACATTCTGCTTGATGCTGATGGGATGTTGGATTGGCCTCACTTGCATGCAGTTAGATGCCTTCTAATCGGTTTCTTGGAGCCAGTTCATGAGTGACATGGGACTCCTTGTCTGAGGAACCAGAAAAGTAAATCCTCTGGTTGTGAAAAAGTGTCTTTTACCTACTTACCTGATGTAACTCCGAGAACGTCGATTTCGGCTCCACAAATTCAGTTGCCGTTTCTCTCTCAAGTCCAGTGGATGACTTTGGTGTACCCTTTGAGAAAGATGTTTAGAACATCACTGAAACATGACCCCAAACCCAGCCTCACCCCTTGCCTTCTCTCCTTGGCTGGCCGTGTTACTGGTGGCCAGTTCTTTAGCCTTCGCCTTCTCCAACTTGGCGATGCAAGCCACTGACTTCGGACCCAGGACGTTGCCACCCCAGTGGTGGCACATCTCATCGAATCTGTCGTTGTAATCGGTTCTGATGGCTTCCACCAGCTTAGACAGAGCTCCTTTGTCTTCTGAGTTAACCTGTGCGAAGGCGACATTAGTGTGGGTCTTCCTGTGGACCAGTTGCCCCAGCCTGGCCTTCCCCTTGATGATGCAGTAGGGAACCCCCATCTTACAACACAGGGCAGGCAGGAAGACGACCAGCTCAATAGGGTCCACGTCATGAGCAGTCACTACCAGCTGAGCCTTCTTGTTTTTCACCAAGGTGGTGATGGTGTTAACCCCAGCTTGAAGGACAGGCGGCCTCTTGGTGGGGACATCTCCTGTGCCGGCCACCTTCTTCTCTGCCTGGGCCAGCAGTCTCTGCTTCTTCTCTTGCTTGGTCTCTGGCCTGTACCTGTGGGCCAGCTTAAGCAGCTGAGTAGCTGTCTGGTGGTCCAGGGCCTGGGTGAACTGGTTAATCGCTGGTGGCACTCTGAGACATTTATAGAGAACAGCCCTTTGCCGCTGCAGCCGGATGTAGTGGGGCCACTTGACAAAGCGTGTGAGGTCCCTTTTGGGCTGCATGTCCTGTCCGATGCCGAAGTTCTTAGACCTTTTCTCAAGTGAGATTGACCACCTTCTTGGCCTCCTGCTTTTTCACGACAGCTGGGGCCGGGGCCACCTTCCTCCCCTTGGCCTTCTTCATTTTCAGCATCTTGGATGGCTGGAGGAGAAAGAAAGGAAAAGCGTGATGGCATTTCTTAATAACTCCAGCATAACACCGAATAGCAGGAATGCCTCGTTGGTGATTCACTTTAGTTTTTGGCCACAGTGAGAACTTGGATGTTTTGTTTCATGTGGACTCAGCTACTGTAGCTGCTCCTATGTTCCTCCTGACTTTGGGGCATCTTCGGGCCCGAAAGCTCTCTATAAAGAACTTCCCTTTGAAGATCTAGTGTCATTTGCTGGCTTCCAGCATCTGACTTAGACACTGAGTTTTCTGATTTAGTTTGCCCAGATAGCATCGGGCATCTGCAGTTGACGCCTGTGTCTCCGTGCTCGTATGAATTCAGAGAATCACAGGACTCAGTTCCGTCGCTGTAATCTCAGGGTGGGGCACAGTAGGCGATCAGTAAGGGTCAGTAAGTATGTGCTTCACCAGTGAAACCCCAAGGCCTGCAGTATTAATAATGCAGGCAGACTTGATGTCTGGCCATGGGCATAGACATGTCATCTGCTCTCTCCTCCTCCTCTATCCCCAACCCTGTGACAGCCTCAGCAGAACGCCCTGCCGGAAAGTGGCAGCGCCTCCTCATAGGTCTGACCTTGCTTTGTTTGAAGGGCCCCGATGCTGCTCAGTGACCGCAGTTCCAGGGAGAAGATGCCGAATGCAAGTTCAGTGGTGATGGATTGCACTGAGAGGTCATGGGGGGCCTGACGCAGTGGAAGGGCACTGGGGGTACGAGGCCACAGGGGGCAGATCTTTCTGAATGCCCAGTGCTGTCGGGCAGCTAAGCAGCTGCTCACCTCCCTGCATCTTCCAGCGGCTACGATCACGGACTGCCAGCACCCACGGAAGGACGTGCCCTTGTGGAGTAAAGATGGGTCAGTCTTTGAAAGCGTCTCTTCCAGCTTTAAGAATTGAAGATTTTGGGTAGAAGTTGGTGGTCAGTCACAGGTGGGCTCACCTGTACATTTTTGGCCTGTCTGCTCACGTCTTGGCAGTTTTTCTCCTCATTAGCAGTTCCGTCGAGGAGTGGACGTGGGAATACAAGTGGAAACTTGCACGGGGCAGTTAACCTGCTTGGCCCCAAGAAGGGCAAGATTGGCTCTGGGGCCTAGAGTTGGGTCCATAGGACCGTTTCTCTCTGTGGTTGCCCCTTCCTGCCTCCTATGCCCACTGATCACTCAGCCATGGTTGTAGAGTATTTTCCGCTTGCTCTTTCTGATTTCTATATAAGTGCTAGTTTTCCAAAAGTAATTTCATGACGTTTGCTTATTTAGGAGATGAAAGCACTTGAAAATGTTTTAGCTTCTATTTTAACTCTGGAAATAATGACAACTGGCATTTTAGATTGCTTGTTCTCTGCTCAGGGGACAGATGAGAGAGCCTGGCTAATTTTTGCCTTTGTTCTGGGTCCTTTTGTTTAATAAATCCTTGTGGGCCAAGCCACAGGGTTAGCTTACATAGGGACTGAATGTAGTACATGCAATGTGGCCCAGAGCATCCCGGGGCCACTGCGTGGCCTTGCACAAGGTGGAGGCCCTGGGGAGCATCCCGGGGCCACCGCGTGGCCTTGTGCAGGGTGGGGGCCCTGGGGAGCATCCTGGGGCCACCGCGTGGCCTTGTACAGAATGGAGTCCCTGGGGAACGTTTTAGGGTTTCTCACTGGATTGACTTCCGTGGTCTTCCTCTCTGAGAATGGCCCTCCTGGGAGTAACAGCATGTCCTTTATAGGCCGAGACAGCCCCTGTCTTGTGCTGCCGGGACAGACGGAGGAGCAGGAGCGAATTCTGGAGAGGGTTCCTAGGAAGCTTGGACAAGACTCAGTAATTACACGAATAGTAAGAGAGAAGAAAAAGTCTAGGGTGGGGCTCAGGGTTTTGCCTTTGGGTGATTAGCTGATTTTGCAGAAAGATGAGTCTGAAATTGTGTGTGTTTGGTTTGAGAGGCCTGCAGGGCATCCGTGTACAGGAGTCTGGAAGGCAGATGGGAACCCCTGTCTGTGGTTTGGGAACCATCACAACAGGATCTACATCAGGCTGTCAGACGGGTCACTGGGTCCATTGCAGGACAGCAGACAGGCCTGAGGACAGGGCTTGGAGAAAGCCGGCATTTCCCATCATCCCATCTGGGGCCCTGAACTGTTCTGAGAGCTCCGACTACCACCACGGGCTGCTCTCCCTCCCCCGTTCCTGCCAGGCCAGCGGCGGCTTGTGTTCCCGGATGGGCCCAGAATGCACATTGGGGATGCACATGGCGCTCTGTTGGACGGAACACACACATCAGAGAGGCACTGATACCGTCTTGTCTTGACTGCGAGTCAGGGCATGGGGCGGAGCAGTGATCCTGTCCGTCCTTCGCTCAGCCGAGGGCATGGCATCGCTGGGCTCCCCAAGGGGCTTGAGCAGGCACCCCTTCCTCCTCATCACTTAGTCAGAACCCCTCAAAGCATGCAGCACAGCAGCACGGCCCCTTGCGTCCTTACCTTGAAGCACCTTGTCCTGCCCAGGTCGCGGGCTGGAAGCACATTACCAGGTGGATTTCCCTAACGGTGCCCCGCCGCGGGCTGATGCGTGTGTCTCTGCATGTGCTTGCAGGTGAATACTGTGGGGAAAATGACTGTCAAAGAAGCAAGTACATCAGGGAATTACTTTGAAAGACATTCACTTTATTTTTTAAAAGTTTGTTTATTTTGAGAGAGAGAAAGAGAGCACAGACAGGGGCAACGCAGAGAGAGAGGGAGAGAGAGAATCCCAAGCAGGCTCCACGCTCAGCACAGAGCCCAACACAGGCCTCGATCTTATAATCATGAGATCATGACCCGAACCAAAATCAAGAGTCAGATGTTCAACCGAAGGAGCCGCCCAGGTGCCCCTGGAAGGCAGTCACTTAAAAAAAAAAAAAAAAAAGGCAAAGGCAAACCATAGGTTTCTGCATTGCTCTTTGTTATTTTCTTCTTCCACAAGAACTGTTCATCCCGAGTGGACAGAAGAAGTGAAAGCAGCCACACTGAGCACAGACCCCTCCTGTCCCGGGACACCTTGTGCAGCCACTTGTTTGGTCCTGGCAGAGGCAGGACTCGGCATCTTGAAGCCGCGTTTCTCCCTGGGGTGCATCCCCAGGGGCAGTCTGCTCGTCTGGCTTTGGGGGTGTCACACCCCGGGGTGGGAGGTCGATGGAGGAGTACACTGGGTCTCAATCTCCCCCGGGACTCACTTTCCCTCCTTGTCCCCACAGCCCTTCCGCTGCGCCCATTGCCATTACTCCTGTAACATATCCGGCTCCCTGAAGCGGCACTACAACAGGAAGCACCCCAACGAGGAATACGCCAACGTGGGCACCGGGGAGCTGGCGGCCGACGTGCTCCTCCAGCAAGGTAGGCAGCGTGCCCCTCGGGAGGCGCTGGGACGCCTTACAGCTCAGTCCCGACCCCTGAGCGTTTTGTTAATTCTCCATCATCATGACTGTGCTCCGCGTCCCCCATTGGTGGGTATCGGCGTGGCTTACTACCTCCGCGGGAATCTGAGGGGAAAAATCATAATTTACCCACAGATGTTACCACCCTCCCCACAACGTTCATTTGTCAGCGCTGCCTTCCGCTCTTTGTCCGTGTCCATTACCTTCCTCCCCAGTGAAAGCTCATGGTCACGTGCACATTTTGTTGTCTCCCTCAGTAACACTTCCAGGGGCTTCTGTGGTCCACCATCGGGTGGCAGTGCCCCAATTTTATCTCACCATGCTCCTGTCGCACATTGTAGGGCTTCCAGAGTTGCCTTTCATTGCAGTCGTGAATCATGTCGTGGTAAACGTATTTGTAGGTGAGCTGCTTTAGATTATCAGAAAATATTTATTGAGTGCTCAGGTTGCTTATTCATCCTGAGAAGGATAAACCATTTAGAGCATTTAAACGGAACAGAATGGATGAAAACCTCTCATCTTCTTGAAAAGCCTTAGACGGTTTTTTTGGGGTTTTTTTTTTTTTGCTGCTTTTTTCAGTAAATGATCACATATTCCCACTTGAGAAGGTTGAGCTCATGCGCTGTTGCCGTACAGAGAAGTGCTGTTGTATTTATATCTGCGCCTCAGTAATTCAACTAAAAAAATGATCGCCATACACACTACATCAGTTTTTACTACTTCCTGAGTCCTGTGACTCTTTGAAGCCAGAGACCGTTTTAGAAACCTGCCCCCGGTGAACAGAGCTGGGGGATGGCGTACCCTGCCGCAGCTGTGGACGCAGCGCGAAGGCCCGCTCGCTGGGAGTGCCATGGAATGCATCTTCATATAGAACAGATGAATTGACTGAATCCTTCCGTGCTTTCTGTGGCAGGGCTGATGTATGGAAGTAGATGGCAGCATAAAAACTCGGGATAATTTTAGAGCCATCCATCAGGGGTAACGGGGAGTGTGTGCCTCGTGTTTTAATGACCATTTCGTGGAGCTGGAGACCGGGGTGGTGCCGTGGGGGGTGCGGGGCCCCTGGCGCATGTCTGTGCTCTGCTCCTTGAGCTGTGCCATCGGGGCAAGTTAGCCGGCCTCTCTGCTCAGACCCCTCACCTGAGAATGGAGTTGACAGCGGCCTTGTCACCTGATCGGGGACGGGGTTACATGAGCGAACACTTGAGTGACACTCAAAACGTTTTCATACTTCTTTCTGTTTTCCTGAAAACATCTATGAATTCTAGAGCCACTGCATCACTTTTGATGGTCCCTCCTCCCCTACCCCCACCCCCACTCCCCGGCCTGGAATCACAGAGGAGAGAACCAATTGCTTTAGAGGCACAGTAGATTGCTGGAGAAGCAGGCTAAACATTCCTTTTAACATCCTTCACACTATTGGGTTGGATTGGCAGGAAATAGACCTTTACTGCGGCTGTTGGGACAGGCGTGGGGCTCTGATTGATGACACTATCACTGCTCTCTGCTTCCAAACTTTCATCATTGCCTTGCAGAATGTGCTGGTGCTGAACTGTTTCCTGCCCTGCATTTTCAGTTACCTTTCTAAGACTATCATCAGTTGGCATTCCCTGACAGCGTCTGCCAGGTTTTCATTTTAATCTTCGCAGGGGTATTTATGGTCTTCTTTCATAACTATATGTATATACATATGTATGTATATGTGTGTATGTATGTATGTGTGTATATGTATGTAGATATGTACGTATGTGTATATGTATGTATGTAGGGTATACACACACATATGCACACACAGGCGCACACATATATATTTCCAATGCTCCCTTCAAAAGACAAACTGAGGAAGGAAACAACTATATGTCTCTTGGCTCATAAAAGACATTACACCATTGTCTTTTGGTGGGAGAATAGTCTCTGAAATCAGATAGCTGGTTGAGTATGAACACACCTTAGAAATTCTAAGAGCCCAAGGCTCCCACTGGTCCTCCATCTGAGAGCAGGTGGGAAAACGGAGGGATGACATGGGATGGACACGGTTCCCATGTTCGGATGCTAAGTCCTTAAGTCCAGCACCACTGGAATTTTCATCTTCTTTTGATTAACTTCAAGGAATTCTCCCCCACCCCCTCCCCTTGGTTTTGTTTTTGTCTTCTATTTACTCATGAAAAAATATCTTCATGGGAGTTAATAATTTCTTGTTTTGATATAGAGAGATACGTGTTAGGAGAACTTGATTACAAGCTGTGAACGAAGTGTAGTTTTCTCAGAACGGTGTCACAGCTTCCCCGCAATGAGTGCAGGGACTCCCTGTCCATCGGCCGATTGGAAGTGGTGTCACGCTGGGACACAGGCAGAGCCGTCAGCTCTGGGCAAGGGTTCTCCTACACACAATGCTCAGGAATTTGGGAAGGATGTCCACGTGTGGCACCGTGCAGGAGGTAGGGAAGGCGGCCGAAAAGGCTGAGATGTTGCTGGGTCAGACGTTTCTGGGAGAAGGTCCCCTGGTGGTCTCCGTGGAGTCGGGGTGATCTTCGGTGGGCCCCCGAAGCCCCCCGGAATGGCGGCTGCCCCGCTGTCCACTGGTAGTGCTCTGTACATGTGTACCAGCTGGCTGCCCCAGGGGCGGGGAGAGGGGACCTGGTTTCCAGCGTTGGCCAGTTTCTCTAAATGGCTCTGCCATGGCCAATTTGAAGCCACCAGTGTGATGTCACTGAACTGGGCAGGGATGTGAGACTGGCTTATGAGCTGGTGGGAGCCGGCTCCTGGTCCCCAGGGCATAGGGGCAACGATGGCAGCAGGGTGCCGTCTGGGTCCCTTTGGGGCGCACAGCCCCCAGGAACTCTGGTGCCTTTCATCACCGAGACTTGCGCGGAGCGCTGTGTCAGTGTGTTACTCCTGCTTGTATTTGGCGGCCCTCTGATACTTGGGAGGCAGATTGCACAGTCTCTTGCTACTTTCCCTGGCCTGTCACTTGTTCACTAACATGGATGTGAGGCGTTTTCCCACATGTTGTGTGGCCGCAGCGGGCCGCCTCTGTTTCCTCTTGGAATCTTCCAGAGTAGGCCAGCTCAGGGCCTGGTTCCCTAGGTTGCAGGTTCAGAGGCAGCGGCTTCGCAGGTTGTTAGCTCCCTCCTGAGCTCGCGGCAGGACACGGTGGGGCTAGCAGGCTTGTCAGTCTCCAGGACCTCAGAGCAGCCCTTCAGTCACTCTGGGTTATTGGCAAGGGCACAGGCGTGGGAGGCAGACGGGGGCCTGGAGCCGGGGTGGTGATCGCCGTGGCCCTGAGACGACTAACTTCTCTGAATGTCCTGTTACGTGTCTTCAGAGAGGAGGGGCTGGTACCCGCCCAGCAGCAGTTGTAAAGATTAGATACTATTCTCTAAGGTCCCAGACGGTGCCTGACATGTAGCAGCGCTTAATAAATGGTTCAGATTTACTCTCGTGTTTATTCCCACGTTCCTTCTTCACCGTGTGTCTCTCGTGTTCCTAGCGTGTCTGACATTGTGCTGGACCCTGGGTATGGTGGCATCTTTTGCATGATGGCCTGGGCTAGGGATGAAGGCTGGGAAGCCCCTCAGGGCCCCGTATTCTGGTTGTAACAGAACGTGTGTGTTCTTTTCAGCAGTTACCCACGTTGCTCGCAGGAGGAGAATTTGCTGCTTCTGCTCAGTGCTACCCATTCTCCCCGGCCCCACTGTTAGAGGGTCATTGAGGCCAGGGTAGTGACTGGGATGAGAGGCAGCGGGAGGAGGGGGCTCGAAGAGAAGGCTCTGTTTGCGGCATCTGGTAAAATCTTGGTGTGATTTTTGTATGACCCTGTTAGAAGAATGTAAAAGTGTGTGCATACGCATCTTGGATATACACCCATAACTTAGCTTCTCACATTTGCGCTTGTTAAAGAGGAAGAGGGTGAGGAAGCATATGGTCCTGTCCTGGGACACTGATCGGCTTGCGGTCCATAGTGGTCACTTGACCCTGCGTCAGAGGGTCTCACACACACAAGCTGCTGTTTACTCTTTATCGTTTTTTTGTCTCGAGGCCTGGTTGCTGCTCTGACCCGAGGCTAGCTCTGGGACCTCTTTTTCAGGGCTTCCCTGTGCCTGCCTGGAGGCTCTCACATGCCAAGTGTTCGGGGAACATGTGAGGGACCAGGAGGGATGGCGGAGTTGCGGGACTTACTTAAGCTCCTGCTTCCCTCATGGTCCTCATGGCGGGTTGGGACACCAGCCTGGCTAATAATAAAATGCGCTTCACTTTCCCTCTTTTGTTTTCCCTTACACTGTTTTTCTCAAAGGTCTTCTCCAGGGTTGTGCCGGACAGCATGCATGCCGTGTGATTGGGGCCCTCCCCCTCACACTTGCATAGGGCGTCCGCTAGATTACCGGCCTGGGTGCATCTCCTCGTTCTGGCCGGGGCTCAGTCTGGGTCTCAGGACCAGCACTGGATTAAGAGACAGCAAGAAGTGGGGATGCTAACAAGGTCCAAGTCCACATTTTGCTTCCTAATATTGTGTAATCAGATCGCTCTGTATCCAGTTTCCTCTGATAAGTCAGCCCATTTGTCACAGTTACCGTCCAGTTGCTTGTATCAGCCTCTTAGGGCAGCTGTAACAAATGACCGCAAACTTGCTGGTGGCTTAAAACAACACAGATTTATTATCTTAAGGTTCTGAAGGTTAGAAGTCCGAGATAGGTGTCGCAGGCTCGGGCCAAGTTTGCTAACACATCTGTATTCCTTCTGGAGTCTCCGGGGGAGAGAGAACGTATTCTCTTGCCTTGTTCCAGCCTCTAGAGGCTGCCCACGTTCCTTGCCTCGAGCCCCTTCCTTCTTCCGCCGTCAAGGCCACCAGTGGCGGTAGAGACGTCCTACTGCTTCTCTCTGACGTCCTTTGTGCCTCCTCTTTAGGGGGACCTTGTGATCACATTAGTCCCTCCTGCTTAATCCACACTCATCTCCCCATCTCAGGATCCTTGATGAATCACAACCTCAAAGTCCCTTCTGGCCATGCAAGGTGACCCTCCCATGTTTTAGAGATCAGGATGTAAATATCTTTTATTTTCTTTTTGCCTGCGTGTTTATTTTTCATTGTAATAAAAACTTCACACACCTGTCTTTGTTGTGTATCCAGGCACATTCCATTCCAGACTGTTAGCTCCTGGGGGCCGGGACTACCCCCACCCCGTTTAGTGTGGGCTCACGGTGCCAATAGAGCACCATCCACTTTACAAACAGGTGCCCCCTGCATTCCCCCCTTCCCCCCAGCTTTACTGAGGTATCATTCACAAAGCTGTAAGGTATTTAGAATTCTCATCATCTAGTCGGCTGGCACATCCATCACCTCACACATTAATCTTTCTGCTGTTGTTGAGAACATGTAGGTTCTACTCTCTTAGCACACTTCAGTTATCAGCTGTGGTCACCATGTTTCACATCAGACCCTCAGACCTTAATTATCTTATAACTGCCAGTGTGTACTCCCTTACCAACCTCCCCCTATCTCCGTGGCCCCCAGCTCCTGGCAGCCACTTTTCTAGTCTGTTTCTATGAGTCTGACTTTTTTGATTTTTGTTTTTGATTCCCCCTATGAGTGAGATTATACAGTATTTGTCTTTCTCTGTCTGACTTACTTCACTTAACATAATGCCCTCAGGGTCCATCCATGTTGTCAAAACTGGCAAGGTTTCCTCCCTTCTCATGGCTTACTAATATTCCTCTGTGTGTGTGTGTGTGTGTGTGTGTGTGTGTGTGTGTACATGCTACATCTTCTTTGTCCATGTATCTGTTGATGGACACAGGTTGTGTGGCTATTATAAGTAATGCCGCAGTGAACATGGGATTGCAGATGCTGCTTTGATATTCTGTTTTCTTTTCCTTTCAATACAAACCCAGCTGTGGGATGGCTGTATCGTACGGTGGTTGTATTTTCAATTTTTTGAGGAACCTCCGTACTGCTTTCCAGAGTGGCTGCATTCCCACCAATAGTGTACAAGCGTTCCCTTCCCTCCAGGATGTGAATGTGTCTGGGGGTCCATTATTTTGCCTGCTGGAGTGCCTCTTTTAAAGTTATGAGCTTTAGCATTTCATCTTAGAGAAAATGATGACCCGAGAGTCTCAGGAAGTGGTTCCTAGGTCACATGAGTGAGTGCCGGCTTCAGGTATGTGAGAGCCCAGCCTCGCATTTCACACCACTCTGGGTGAAACATTATTGGCAATGAAATCAAGTTTTCAATAAGGTCACCCACCACAAAGGAGTGCAGATCTTTTAATGCCTAAAACTCTTCCAGAATACACTGCATTCCCAAAAGAGCAAAAGATACCATGATTGATTTTTGAAATTGCTCCTGACGTTCTGTGCTTTTGCCTGGTTCATCATGCCTTCTGAGGAAGCTGCGATCTGGGGCTTGCCTTTCTTACGGTGTGCACTTTCTATCCCAGGGCCACCAGTAAATTCACCACATCTCCTGCAACCTTTATTGTGCGTTGCCTGAGAATGTAATGAATTGAACTAGAAATTAATTTCCCTCAGCCTTGATGCCAATTAAGTGGTCTAGTTCTACATTTATGTCTGGGTCACGTACTTCCAATGTGTTGTTCTTTAATTAAGGGTAATGTGGCAAAGTTGAGGTTTTAATTAATGTGGGCCATTATCATATTAGTTTTAATTTAAATATAATATAAGGATACTTTTTCTCCTTAAATTCGCTTCCATTAAAGAGCACCCCAGAAGGAGTCTTTAATGCCGCTTAGGTCGCTTTTGTTCACCGCCTCTTGCTAAGCCTCTTTGGGAGGCACGTCACTTGAACTGAACGAAAAGACAAGGTTCTTACACCTTGGAGAGCTTTAAAAAAGATGATCACAGGAGAATACGTAGATGATTAATAAGAGATAACAAAGGAAGCCAGAAACTAAGTTTAATTATCAGCTAGACAGGAAAGAACAAGCCCATTGGGTTTGGCCTAAACAAAGAGTGCTGGGTGTGTAAGTTTCAGAAAATAAGCATGTGTTGGAGCTGCCGCTTCTGTAGAATGTTCTGGAAGTTGATCATTTGGTGTTGCTGGTCTTTCTGCGGATTCTGCCCTGCTTGTGTCGGACGTGCCATGCTCTCCTGCGCCCTCCCAGCGTGGCGGGGCTGTGAAGCAGTAGGCGAAGGCACGAAGGGACGCAGTGGTGGCCATCTGGGTTGGCCTCCTCTTCTGCTCATGACTGTGTGGGGACTCATTCACCACCTCAGGTGATAGACAGAAAGCCCTGGTTACAGAACAGCGCACTATCAGACTCCACTGACGCGGGATTGACTCTGAAAGCCAAGCGCATCATACTTGTATCCGGGAGATGCTTAAAGTACATTACGCGTCTTCGTGAAATTTGCCTGGTTATTATGTAATTTGTCAGGACAACCTCATCGTCAGGACAGAATCCCTCTTCTCCCTCCTCAGTACCCCAGTGAGCAAGAAATAAATCTCAGACGCTGGGCGGGTGCAGGAGAGCATAGCAGGTCTGGCAGAGACGGGGACAGAGGCAGCAGAAAGACTGACCGCAGACCCCACAACCCCAGGTGTGCCGAGAAGGGAATGAGCTTGGTCAATGCCAGAGACAGAGAAAGGAGAGAATGGGGGAAGAGGGGAGGAGGCAGGAATAAGGTCACACAGGGGTGATAGTAAGGTCATGCAGGCCACTTCTTGGAGCTGGGATTTTATTCTGGGTCTGATGGAAAGCCATTGGAAGGTTTTATACCTGTGAGAGATGTAATTTAGTTTATGTTTTTCAAAGCCCATTCTGTGGGTGCCTGGGTGGCTCAGTCAGTTAAGCATCCAACTTCTGCTCAGCCATGATCTCACGGGTTATAGGTTTGAGCCCCGCATCAGGCTCTGTGCTGACAGCTTGGATCCTGGAGCCTCCTTCGGATTCTGTGTCTCCCTCTCTCTCTGCCCCTCCCCCGCTCTCTCTCACTTTCTCTGTCTCAAAAATAAACATTAAAGAAAAATTATTTTATAATTTTTTTTTAATGTTTTATTTATTTTTAGGAGAGAGAGAGAGACAGCGTGAGCAGGGGAGGGTCAGAGAGAGAGGGAGTCACAGGCTGAAACAGGCTCCAGGCTCTGAGCTGGCAGTCAGCACAGAGCCCGACGCGGGGCTCGAACCCACGAACTGCGAGATCATGACCTAAGCGAAAGTCGGACGCTTAACCGACTAAGCCACCCAGGCGCCCCAAAGAAAAAATATTTTAAAGCCCGTTATGGGTGCAGGGCAGACAGTAGACCAACAGTGGCCGCAGGGAGACCCACTGTACCCACCATGCCCCGCTTGGCGGAGCCTGATGGTGCCGGTGGGTAGCCTGAGTCTCGCCACTAATCCTGCTCTTCGTCCATGTGGATTTGGAGACCTGGTGCCTGACGACTCCCTCTGAGGCTAGAGTTCCTGAGCAGAGTTTACTGCTGCTTTTTAAAATGTTTTTTAAATTTTTTTAAAGGTTTATATATTTTTGAGAGAGAGAGAGAGCACAAATAGGGGAGGAGCAGAGAGAAAAAGGGAGACACAGAATCCGATGCAGGCTCCTGGCTCTGAGCTGTCAGCACAGAGCCCCCTGCAGGGGCTTGAAATCACAAACTGCGAGATCATGACCTCAGCTGACTGAGCCCCCCAGGTGCCCCTAGAGTTTGCTTCTGAATTCACAGCCTGTTAAAAGTGGTTTTTGTCCAGTCACTAACTTAGTCACTGCTCCCGATAGAATTTTAGAAACATAGTCTTTTGTGTGGCTCTCAGGATTTGTTCTGTTGTTTGTTTTTTTACCCAGAGTTGTACACACTCCTATTTAAAGCATCTGCACTTCTCAGAACATGTGTATAATTTAATCAGTTTGATAAATATGAGGTTTTAATTTGTCTTTACTGAGAAATCCAAATGGGGATTTATACAAACGGCTCAGCTTTTGATGTGAAGGAGACTGGCTCTTGGTCTTCGTGTTTTAGGACAATGGTGATTGAGAAAAGCAGCCTTGTCTTTCAGTTATTTTTGTTTTCTAAGTTATTTGTTATTTTCAAATGAAAAAAGAAAAGTGAAAGCACGATAAGGCCAGCTACTCACTCAGCCACAGGAATTCTGATATCCCTGCACCGAAAACACTCCGTATTCATTAGACTCTCTGCAAATGCTCATTGAAAAATGAAAAGAAGTACATGAAGCTTTAGAAATGTCTGCCCTGAAAAACAACTGTCCTGTCGCCATTCTGTTCCAGTACAGAGGAGACCTGGGACCAGCTGATCTGAGGGGCAGGACGGGAGGTGCACCGGGGCTCTTGTGTGCTGCAAACGCTCCCTTTTCCTCTCTGCCTTCAGGTGGTTTGAAGTGCCCTGTGTGCAGCTTTGTGTACGGCACCAAGTGGGAGTTCAACAGACACCTGAAGAACAAGCATGGCCTGAAGTTGGTGGAAAACGAAGGAGATCCCAAGTGGGAGGTAACTTTTTAAAGTATGGTATTGATTTTGACATTTCCAGCTACAAATGACAGATGGAGCAGGCCTGGGTCCTTCTCGAAGGATGAGGTTTTCTGGTTGGGAAGCTGGGCAGTCTTTGCAGAGCCTTCTCCTGTCTGAGGGGTGAGACCTGGGCAGTGCATGTAAGCTCTCACCTGTAGTTGAGTTTAGACCATTTAGTGAACGTCTGTGTGGTGTCATGGGCGCTTTCACTTCGGTGACTCCCCAATCCATAATTTCGGCAGTTACATCGGAGAAAAGAACACGAGGCAAGGGGCCTGCTGTGAGTCCTCACCAGGAGAACGGGGAAGGGCTCTGTCTGTGAACCTAGGCCCTACCCTCCTGCTCCTGAAAGCATGTGCTCCCACCCGCCATCTTTGTTTTACCCTCCAGTGTTAGAACCAGTCACTGGCTAGAAACACATTTTTTGTGTTCTCAAAGCCAGTAGCTGCCTCTTTTTTCAAGTGTCACGTGTCACCACCATGGACTTATTGCAGCTTTCCTGAGGTGGGGTTTCCCAAACTCGGCACTGCTGACGTTATGAACTTCGACATGATCATCATTTGTTCTAGGGGCTGCTCTGTGCATGTCAGGATATTTGGTCGCATCATTGACCTCCACACACCAGATGTTAGTGGCATTCCCCATTTGGACAACCAAAAATGTCCTGGACATTGCCAATATCCCTGGGAGTCAGAGTCGCTCTCAAATGAGAACCACTTACCGAAGGACTTTCTAGAGGAGCATCAGAGCATCCAAGGGTTAAGAGTAAGGGCCTTGAAAAAAATCATACATCATGACAATGTGCAGATTATTCCAGAATGCAAGGGAGGAATGGTTCAGTAGGAGGGAATCTTTTTAATATAACCCATCATATTAATAAAACCTGGGAGAAAAATGAAATGATTATCTTCACATATCCAGAAAAGACACTCGACAAAGTCAAGCATCTGCTGATTAAAAACAGTCAATGAAGTACAGTTGCATGAGTACATCCTTAAGATGAAAACAATCTGTATGTGCATCTCAGTCCCAAAGCCAGTATCTTCTTATGTGAGGAAACACTGGAGGGTTTCTTGTTGAATCAGGAAGAAGGTGAGGATGTCCCCGGAGCTCTAAGACTTTGGTCACCAAGTCTTTAACATCACTTAGGACACATCAGCCAGTGTGTTAGACAAGATAAAGTAAAGAGTGACATTGAGAATTGGAAGAAAAGAAATCAGTTTATCTGTGTCTGAAGATGACAGGATTCTGATTTTGGAAAATCCAAAAGAATGAATGAAAGGCTACTACACGTGATAAGTATCAGATTGAACCATAAACATAAAATAACGAGTAGCTCGCATATAGAGAGAGGTAAGAACAAAAAGATCCGAGATTTAAATGTAAAAACAGTGATATTTTAGGAATACCGAAGGAAAACCTGAGTGAACAAATTCATTTGTGAATTCAGGGTGTGGAGGGCTTTCCTAACTATGCCTCAGAATCCAGATTCACTACAGGGAAAGATTAAGAACAATTGACCACATGAGAAAATTTTTAAAAATCTTATGGAAAAGAACTCATGAACAAGGTAAAGAGACAAAGAAACAGGTAACAGGAAAAAAGTATTTTCAGTCGTATCGTAGAAAATGGATGAGTATCTTTACATTATAAAATCTTTTGAAAATAGTGATCAACAACCCAGTAGGAAAATAGGCAAGAGATGAGAAAGGTTCATAGAAAAAGGAATGCAAATGACTTTCAATATCTGAAAATATGATCAACCTCACACATAACACTTGTTAATTAAAACTGGAGAGGGTCACCTGGGCAGCTCAATCGGTTGAGCGTCTGCCTGACTCCTGGTTTCAGCTCAGGTCATGGTCTCATGGTTCGTGGGTCTGAGCCCTGTGTTGGGCTCTGTGCTGACAGTGTGGAACCTGCTTGGGTTTCTCTCTCTTTCCCTCTTTCTCTGTTCCTCCTGTGTGCTTGCTCCCTTTCTCTCTCTCAAAATAAATAAATTTTAAAAAAACTTAAATAAAACTGGAAAGAGAATTTTTTATCTATTAGAATCCAGAATTTGACATCCTCTCCGTTGGAGAGGCTGAGGGGAAAATGCACTCCAATGCGTTGCTGTTAGGAATGCAAAATGTTACTACCTCTATGAAGGGGAATTTACCAATGTCTAGTACAATTACTTGTGCATTTCTTTATCTATTAACTAAACAATCCACCACTAGAAAACTACCCTGAAGTAATACACAATAAACACAACGCTGTTTATTGCAGCCCTATTCTGCATTGTATGCCTAGATACATGAATAGATTGCATGTGTGTGTGTACACACCAACAGATAGATGCTGACCTGATTCATCACCACATGTGCCTGTACACAGCTAGTCTATGTACATGTGTTCCTTAGAAGCCTTTTGTGCCGAGAGAGCCCAGACGCAGTGACACTCCATGGCAGTGAGCAGCACACGGGGACGTAGATCTCAGTTTCTAATAGGATTCTCCAATAAAAGGAACCAGGGTCCTTTGAAAAGTGGTTGATTCCAGGGCCGAGGCAGAAAATATGTAAGCTGATCCTAGAGTCTTTTGTGGTCCTAGAAAGTAGCAGCATGCTTCCCCCCCAACCCCGCAAAAAGGTGGAGGCGTGTCGACAGAGTTCCCGATGGCCAGAGTGGGAACAGGGTGAATAACAAAGCAAACAGTGACAGCGTTGTACTACAACTCAGAGAATAAAATAGTATCTGTGAGTCCTTCCTGATGTAAACGAATGGTGGGAAGGAGCGCTTCTTCTGATGAATACATGTAGAAGGAATGAGGAAAATAGAATTCCCATCAGAACACTGTGGTAATCATTGCCGTAGGCAGATCCATCCAGGAATGCTACAATTTGTGGACAAAATTTAAGGAAAAACAGAATATTTACATTGCCTCCAAATCTCTACCCCTCCCCCCAAGAATTTACTAGATTACAGAGGGGAAACAGTGACTGTACAGTAGAGGCCCCTGCCAGACCATGCAGCTGCAAGTTAGCATCCTCAGTAACCATGGTGACGTCCTGTGCCACCAGATGTGATGAGAAGGACACGTCCCCAACGGTATTCTTCAAAAAAGCCTCAGCCTCCATCTAATCATGAGCAACTGTCACGTGTCCCTATGATGTGTTGATGTGTGCGGTCGTACACCTGACCGGTGCTCCTCAAAGGTGTCACGGTCATGAAGGACAAGGACAGCCTGGAGAGCTGTCACAGGTTGTAGGAGACCATTATCTGGCACTGGGTCCTGGGACAGAACCAGGGCACCAGGGAGAAAACAAAGTCTGTCGTTAATAGTATTTGCTGTTCCTGTGTTAGTTCTTGGCTCTAGTGATTGTCCTGCAGTTGTGTCAGATGTGAATGTGAGGGGAAGCTGAGCGAAAGGTGTATGGGAACTCTTCTGGAAGTCAAAAATGATTCCAAAATAAAACAGTCATAACAGAGAGGGGGCATTTTATGTGGAAAGGTAGAGGCACACCAAGATGGCGAGGGAAAGGAAATAAGCCAGAGTTCTCTTAGCACATTCGGCTGTGCAGATTTCGCTCTGAAACCATCGATGTATTTTACATAATATTTTTAAAAATTAAAGTTTACAAAATGCAGACCTTAAACATTGAGAGTAAAGGGAAATAAATGCTACTAACTATATGAAAATGATGGCATAGCTACACCAAGGAACAGTTTCAGCAGGCTTTCAAGGTAGGAGTTTGCTCCTCCCTAGTGGGGCCCAAGTTAGGGTGAAAAGAGCCACAGAAACACATACTGCTTTCAATTATTTTGTTGTTGGGGGAGGATTGATGCTGTTAGTCTGAGGCTTTTGTCAGTATTTAGTAACTGTGGTGAAGCACCTCTAGTATGTCTCCATCTGCGGGTTTATACTGATGCTGGGAAGACACTCGTCACCTCGGAGGATATTAGGGCAGTAGCTCTGTTTTGGTAAATAAAGGCCAAGAATCTAATTATTTTAACCATTTTCTGAACAGACCATACCTCAGTATAACCAAATCTTTGATGAGGAGAAGCTTCTATTCATACATTTTCCAGCTAACAAGTGAAGGTTGAAGATGGAGGGTTTTGCAATCCTCTCGTGATGTCACTGATCCCTCAAGTGGCCACTGCTGCCTGCTGACGTCACACAGGCAGTGGACACACCCAGGCCTCCGTGTCTCCTACTGGATGGGACAGCATAACCCGCGAAGCATTCCTGCCCCAAAGGGAGCCTGTGTCTGATTGAGTTTCCACACATACCAACGGGCGGGAGGCACGGTGGACAGAAGGGCACATTCAGGGACTCCGTGGGGGTGCAGCCAGCCAAGTCCAGACCGCTGGAAACTCCAGAGACCAACAACGCTATAAATGGTGGAGGGCGGGGGTCAGAATGGAGGGAGAACCTGGAACTAGAAGCCTTAGGAGACACGTCAGTCAGTTCTAATACGTGGATTCAGAAACTTACATTTGATTTGAAGAGTATGTCTTAAGAAATGTGGTGACTGGGGAGGCAAAGACATGGCCTGGGTGTGTGGTCCTCACGTGAAGGACTTACTCTTGGGTGTGTGAGTGTCACGGCGGTGGTGGGCTTGCATCTTCAAAGAGTTTCATCTTCCAGAGATACGTTCTAAGCTATTTGTAGATAAAATGCCGCGACTCCTGTGTTTGCTTCAAAATAACCCGAGTGTAGAGCGTAGAGTGTGTGGGGGCAGAGGGGAAATAAGGCTGGTCGTCATTTGGTAATTATTCAAGTTGGATGACTTCAGACCTCTGTGGTTGTGTATGTTTGAAATTTTCTGTAAGAACATGTAGGGCATCTGTGCGTTGCAGTCTGGCCGACATTGACTTTGAATCCTGGTGCCATACTGTATAACTAAATGGCTTGACCATGAACCATGATTTACTTAATCTCTGTGGCTTCAGTGCTCTTATCCATACAGTGAGGCTAATAGTAGTCAGGAGGTCAAGGATTGAAAGACAAGATCTACGAAACGCTGAGGTTAGTGTCTCATCCCTGGTAGGCCCCCAATGTTCCGGAGCTTCTGCGGTTATTGGTGGACGTGGTGGCGCATGTCATCAAACTCACATCCTTATGTAGGAGAGAAAGTATAGCCCTGCAGTGTTTCAGGTTCATACCATGAGGATTTGCTCTCTGTTTACAAATAGAGATTGGAATGCCATTTCTTGACCTAAAACCCCATGTCCCCGGGCCGGTTGGTGCTTTTTTAAGTGCGTGTGGTAATGGCCCTCTGCCCCGAAGGGCTTGCTTCTTCCAGATGCCAGCACGTTACACAGAGTTCTGAACCCAACTCAAGTCATTGGTGCAAAGCCATGTACTCGGCTCCAGAAGCAAGACCGTAGAGCAGCCATGAGGCTGGGCTCTGGTGCTGGGTTACCTGTGGGGTGACAAGCTGCCTGTTCCACTGGTTGGGTCCTTGCCACTTGTGGTTAGGACACAGAATCCCCCTCCCCCCATGAGAAAGAAGCCACTGTGCGTGGGTCCTGTTTCTCACAGGCTAAGACCTTAGTTCCTTGGATCCAGTCATTATCAGGCAATACGCTGCTTACTGGTACTTAAAGGACGTAGGCTTTTTTATTTTGTTCAGCTATGCAATCAACATGTATTTGTTGGGTGTTTACTATAGGGCAGGCTAGAAACCCTGACATGAACTTGGCCCCTTGGCTGTAGAGGAATGATCACGTGGCACTCTGAACTGTATCAGTTGCCACTAAGTGCGCATGGAGCGTGGTGACGTTGGCTCCTGTAAATTTTGTGTGAGGTCCTCCCTTTTGTTGTTCCTCATTGGTGCCGTTCCCTGCCTCCTAGTTCACCCGCGCTCCCCACCTCTTCCAGAAAGAGCACATTATTAATGCTGACTTCTTAGAAAATTCTGTTCCACCTTTTCTGTCCTTGGGCAACGAGGTCCCTGTGAATGTGACTCCAGACCCCCCTGCCCTCACAGCTCCTGATTTTGCAGATACATTTCCTGTGGCCCGTTGTTTATCGTGTCCTTTGTACGAAAATTAGAGCGGCCCGAATAGGCGAGGTTCACGGGGCTCTGGGTGCCAGCACGCATGTTGTGGGCTGTACGTGCGTGGTGTCGCTTCCTGCCCCTCCTCCCAGCTGCAGCTCTGCTGTGCCCTCCTCAGTCTGCCTGACGGCTCGTGGCCACAGGCCCAGGGAAGGTTCCAGCAGCCCTGGCAGCAGTGGGAGGAGACGGCGGCCATTAGAAGAGCACATATGGGACCCTCTGTGCATGTCTAATCCCTAATTATGAACAGCACACTCCATTCCCCACGGCAAGACTGTGTAGCAGGAAGCCTTCTGCCAAAGCTGGTTTCAGAATGTCTTGCTGGGTCACCTGGGTGGGTCGGTCAGTTAAGCGTCTGACTTTGTCCAGGTTGCGATCTCACAGTTCATGGGTTCGAGCCCCGCATCGGGCGCTGTGCTGACGGCTCAGAGCCTGGAGCCTGCTTCGGATTCTGTGTCTCCCTCTCTCTCTGTCCCTCCCCTGCTTATACCCTGTCTCTCTCTGTCTCTCTCTCTTCCTCTCTGTCTCTCTCTTTCAAACATAAAATAAAATAAAATAATAAAACCATCTTGGTATTTGCAAGGAGAGTTTCCTTTTTGGGAAGTGTTTATCGGAGCAGCGGATTTCTCAGGGACACCAGGTGCGTGAGGTGCGGCAGGAGGCTTCTTGTGTGCATTGGTTTTGTCTCGGTTCATTACCCTGGGGCTTGTGGGTAACAGGTGGCCTTCTAGAAGATCACTCAGATGATCTGTTTTCGTTTAGCCAGCAACAGAAGCACCCGAGGAGCCCTCCACCCAGTATGTGCACATCACAGAAGCCGAGGAGGACGTCCAGGGCACGCAGGCGGCCGTGGCGGCGCTCCAGGATCTGAGATACACGTCCGAGAGCGGTGAGCATGTGCTCTGTCCCCTGGCACACCTTCGGGCCGCCTTCTGGCTAGTCCTCCGCGGGCAGGTGGCGGCGTGAGTGAGTCCCTGAGGCAGCGGCGTCCACAAGTCTGTCTCCTTCAGCATTCCCGGCCCAGCGTTGGCACCGCTGGGGGACCCCCTGACAGGAGCCCCGAAGTGCAACCAGGGCAGAGCTTGGTGGCGGTGCGGCCAGGCCTCCGCACCTGCTGCGAGAAGAGGGCTTCGCTGAAGGTGCCTGGCGGAGCGCCCGAGCGGGTGCTGCCATCTGGGTTCCTGTACCATCACTGGCTGCCTCGCGGGCGTGGCTCCCAGGCGGCAGGTTCCGGCTCCAGGGCCAGCGGTGGCCTCACCAGGGCTGCCCCGTGGAGCTCCAAGGCCGGCACTGCCTGCTTCCCAGCCTCCTGAAAAGCCCCAAGCAGGGTTTTTACATCAAAAGTTATCACTTCCAAATGCTAGGTCAGTTTGAAGTTCAAGCCGCTCCGTCAGCCCAGTGGTGATTGAGATGTTACACTTAGAAGTGTCTTCTTCGTGCCCTTTCCAGCACAGGAAGGGGACCCCTGTTAGTGTGACCGCAGCCTGATTTGCATGCTGAGGAAGGCTTTAAGTAGAGGCAGGACTCAGGGAATTGCCATTTCCCCCCAGTTCTTAAAGCCCCGAAGCGCAGGTTGTAGGAAGCCTGCGCAGAACACTCCTTGGGGCCGTGACTTTCAGGCTGTGCTCCCTGGGCCGCGGAGCTTGTGGGGACTTGGGAGAGTGCGGTCCGGCGGCCCGGCCCCGGCTGCTGAGTGGGGCGTCCAGAGCGGAGGCCCAGCCTGAGCCCGTGCTGCCTTCCTTCGTGTTCAGGGATTCAGCAGTTGTTCAGGCCCTGCCCCGGTGGCCTGTCTGCCATGATGCCTCATGCACACGCACATACACACACACACACACACACACACACACACACACACACACCCTTTCTAAAGCCTCTCTGGGGTCTCTTCCTGGCAGTTAGAATAAAGCTCAGACTTTGCACCAATCAACCCGGGCTGGGCCGCTCTGGGTCCTGGCACCTTGCCTGCGTCTCCTGCTCCACCTCCATCATGCTTGCTGTCGGCGCCTGCCCCCCGCTGTGCAGGCGCAGCTTTCCTCCATGCGTGGCCATGTGTGAACTCTGTTCCCTGCACGGTTTTTCTGGCCACCCACATGCACCTCTAGTGTTCAGATTGTATGTCACCTGCTGGGGACCCGCCCCATGTTTCTGCCGTGTTCCCTGATCACCTCCCGATATGGGACCAACCTGGTGCGGTGATAGTTTACTTACAAATCTGTCTCAGGAGCCTATGAATCCCGGAAGGCGGGGAGAGAGTGTTAGATGGAGACAGATCTTTGTGTCCCCGCCGAGAGCCAAGCTCCTGGTGACAGGCTTGATAAATGGTCATAGAAAGAGCTAGTGCATGAGGAATGAAACCTTACTTAGCTCAGTAAGGGTGTAAGGTAAATGTTTTGTTTAGCCTTTGGATGTTCAGGGTGGCTGGCTGCAAGGTATGGTTGACACATTTCCCTTAAGCAGAGGGTGTGTGTGTGTGTACGTGTTTGTGTGTGTGTCTCTGTGCATGTGCATGTCTGTACGTGTGTGTCTCTGTGTGCACACACACGTCTGTGCATGTGTCTGTGTGTGCGTGTGTGTCTCTGTGTGTGCATGTGGATAGGGGAACGCCGGGAGGTGCAGTGTGAACGGATACAAGTCACTAGCCCTGTCATCGCCTCAGTCACACGCCAGCTCCCGCCCTCCACGGAGCACATATCGTGTTCCCTCCTCTGTCTCTTCACTGACGACTCCCGTTGGACTGTGGCCCGTGGAAAATGGGTCCATGGGGATGCAGACGCTGGCGGAGACTTGGTAGCCTTGTGCTAATACGGGGACCATGCGGTCCTTTCCCTTCAGCGCATTAACGATCGGGGTCAGAGTGCCGTGTCCAGGGGAGTCGCAGATGGTGCAGCAGATGGTGCTAGCAGGCAGGGGACATGCCATAGCTGCCCAGACGGTGCAGATTCCAGTCTTCCGAGATGATTAAAATAGAGCCCGGGCTTAAATGAGTTTGGAGTTCTGAAGCCCACTGGTTTTAATAATTGAGGCATCCCTGCGTGTTCTGCCCTAGCGCGTGTGACTTCTCTGGCACACCCTCCTTGGCCGCCTACCATGCGCGTGTTCATGGGACCCTGACTTTGCGGTGTGCTGTGCAGGGTTGTGTTCCCACGTGCGGCTTCAGAACGTCAGGACTCCAGCTCAGACTTTGTGCTGTGACTGACCCAGGGACCCCAGGCAAGTCTCCTCTGTTCTGTGCAGAGGTAATCAATCCATGAAGTGAGGGTGATATCGTCACAGTGTCATCCCCTCGCAGGATCATTTGGGGTTTTGAGCTGGTCTTACAGAAAGTGCTTTCAGGCTCTCAAGCAGCACACACATTATTCTGTCGTTAGAGTGAGTGATTGCTGAGAACTATGCTTCCCCCTGAGAAGACGCACCGGAGCATGGCCCCTCTTAAGGGCTGGTTTTGCACTTGGTGCCCTCCAATGCCACCGGGCTTAATGGTGTCCTGTTGGCTTCTTCCCTGTAAGGTGACCGGCTCGACCCCACGGCTGTGAACATCCTCCAGCAGATCATCGAGCTGGGCGCCGAGGCCCATGACGCCACTGCCGTGGCCTCGGTGGTGGCCATGGCTCCAGGGACAGTGACTGTCGTGAAACAGGTAAGGGCCCTCCCCTCCCCCTAAGTATCACCCCCTCACACCGCCACACCTGCCCCATGGGTTCTCTAGGCTGAATTTACCTGTGGTGGGCTGTGGAAAGAGACAGGCTCCGTCTCCTGTGTTTTCTTACTCTGCCTCCAATGATGCCAGGCTTGTGTCTTCAGGAGCTCTGGGTGGGGGCGGGGGGTGCTTTGGGGGAGAGGTATAACACGGAAACCTTTCACTCGTTCCCCTTCAAAGAAGCCCAGAGCGAAAACGAGCAGATGTGGACACACTTGGACCCATCTGTCGTGAAGAGCAGGCCTCGGTGCCAAAGGCACCAGCGAGCAGAACACGTGGGGGCCGTGGGGACAGGCAGCGGAGCCAGGAGGGTACGCAGCATCACCTGGTCATGGCTGAGCCGATGGGAAGAAGAGCATCAGTTTTTGAATCATGGTGACTCTACCTTGAACAGTTTGGCTCACTTCCGCCCCCAGAGACGTCACGGGCTGTTACAATCAGGGTGCTGGGAATTAGACCGCCCTTGTTGTCTGTCTGTACCTGTCTCTCTACTACCTCTTGCTTTATCTTACAAAAGGTTCAGGCCAGCTTATGCAAGCACTTAAAAAAAGCGAAACTGTAAACACGTCAGACTCAGGCAAAGTTCAGGTTCCCGGAGAAAGCTGACATGCAGACTGTAGAGTTTTACACAGTTAGCCATTCTCGTAGTTCAGGAAGTGCTGAGAAAGCGCCCCCTCCCGCCGGGCATCATTTCTGGGGCTCCAGGAGAGACCCAGTGTCTGCCGTCAACGTGGCTCCTCTCTCGTGGGAAGAAAGTAAAACACACGTGAACGCGTGAGACACCAGGATGTCAGATGGTGAGTAAGTACGGAGGGGGACAGTAACACGAGGAGGCACAGTGGGCCCAGGAGTGTGCTCGGGGGCTGCTCGGAAAGGATCTGGCAGATTGCTGGTGTTTGAGCAGAGCCCCGGGAGGGCCATGTGTTATGGGAAGTATGCAAGTCCGACCGTGAATTTGGTACTGAATTTTATAACAGTAAACAAGGAAATACACAACCACAAGCTTCGCAAAAGGAGTAGGTTTTCTTGGCACGGACAAATAAAGGTGTTTCTTAGTGTGCCTCTGACATGGGGACCCGTGGGTGCCATGTGCCCAGCAGCCTCCCTCTGATGTGTGGGAAGTAGACTTCCTGAGCTGTTTCCACGACTGTGCCCCTAGGTTGGGCCAGGCCACGGTGCAAAGCATGAAACCCAGGCTACTGAATTCTCTGTGACGCTAGTACGTTCTGGTTCAACTCCGGATTTCCCGACCCGTAGACAAAACTCATGTCTAGGTGAACGTTTGGGCCGCATGTTCCGGAAATGCTCCCCAGTTAGCGTGGTTTCTCTCAGCAAGATCCTGGCCCGAGGGGAGGTCCTATGTGGGGTGTAGCATTTCAGGCTGCAGGGCCCTGGCACTGGTGGCTGGGGAATAGACCCGAGCATCCTCATGCTAAGCACTCTTCCAGCCTTCTCTCGTAGGTGCTGGGTTGCGGTCTTCCGACTGTCATATTAAATCTCTTCTGAAACCATTCTCTTGCGTCACGACCCACGGAGTCCTCCGCTGGGCCTGGCACTTCAGGAAGGGTCTGGTGGGGACGCATCAGGACAGTCTTGCTGGTATCCCCGCTGACTTCTTTTGAGAATTGCAGGAAGGTGCTGCCGACGGTGATTTGCCACTGCTCGGGGACATGATTTAGTGAGCAGCACAGGCAGTGCAGGGTGCCGCTTGCATGTGCAGTGAGGCGTCAGGCTGATGGCACAACACGGGCGGAGGCAGAGAAGCATCCAGCCCAACCAGTGTACACAGGTGTGGCGCGTGTGTAGGAGCAGAAGACAGTGGCGTCCTTTAGAAAATCTCCTGGTTTATTGAAAACACGGGGCTAGGAGGAGCATCCTAGTTCACGGTCTTGAGCATCTTCATTTGGAAACGTGCCCCGAGGGTGTGTGTCCTCGTCACCATCCTGTCTGTCTGGCCCGGGGACCTGGTACCTGATGGGTGGGGGACAGACGGATGGACGGACCATTGAGGTCATAAGCACACAACCCCTCCTTGGCAAAGGGGTTGCAGTGCGTTAAAGAATGCCCTCTGAACTCAGTTGTCCTGTCGTGTAAGTGTAGAGATGGCTGTTTTTATTAGAGAAATTAGTGTGATTGTTTTTTCTTTAAACTCTGGTTCAGGATTTTTCGGTAGAGGGATTATATCTGCATAATGGGTGTGCTGGAGCCACTTCTGTGTGAACTCTGGTGTATGTTGGCATCAAATATTCCTCATTCTTCCCGGTCAGGGGACCTTGGTGCTGGGATTTCTTCCTGCTCCAGCCCAAAACAGCACACATAGTAGGTGCTCAGTAAATGTTTATTTTTGTATTTATTTTTAAATTTTTCTTATGTTTTATTTTATATTTGAGAGAGAGAATGAGAAGGGGAGGGGCAGAGAGAGAAGGAGACACAGAATCTGAAGCAGGCTCCAGGCTCTGAGCTGTCAGCACAGAGCCCGATGTGGGGCTCGAACTTATGAGCTATGAGATCATGACCTGAGCTAAAGTCTAAAGTCGGTGCTCAACTGACTGAGCCACCCAGACGCCCCAGTAAATGTTTAGTAAGTAGGATTGAGTGGGCTGTGGTTTTCATGTTTTGCATCATATCCTGTAGAACGGTACTGGAGAGAAAAACGCAAGAACATTTTGTCAGTAAAGTACATAGCATGTGCTGTAGAACAAAAAGTTTTCAGGTTGCTACTAGATAGCATAGTTTGAGATCTTTTTAAACTTTTCAGTATTATATATATCTTCCACAGGACCAGAAACATTCTAGGTTGGGAATGAATGGATTCTGGAGGTTTAAAAATCTCAAGGTTTCTTTCCCATGTGAAAAAATACTTATATGCTCTGTTCATAATTCTATTTTTTCCCCACTTATTAATGTTGATTGAAAAATGGTATTTTTAAAAAAAATTTTTATGTTTATTTTTGAGAGAGAGAGAGAGAGAATGAGAGGGGCAGGGGCAGAGAGAGGGAGACAGAGAATCTGAAGCAGGCTCCAGGCTCTGAGCTGTCAGCACAGAGCCCAATGCGGGGCTCAAACTCACCAGCTGTGAGATCTTAACCTGAGCCAAAGTTAGACGCCTGGCTGACTGAGCCACCCAGGCGCCCCAAAAAGGATCTTTTGTATATGAGAGGTAATTAGTGATAATTGAAAGTGGTTAATTTCCAGTCTTTTTGGGTTTTCGGTTTCCGGGATGAAAACACTGTCAGGTTGGTGGGTAGGCTGGGGGTGTTGGAAGCAAAGAGCTGAGAAAAAATGGTTCCTTGCATTGCTTTCTTCGTCTTCTTCTTTTTTTTTTTATGTTTTATTTATTTCTGAGAGAGAGAGAGATTGTGAGCAGGGGAGGGGCAGAGAGAGAGGGAGACAAGCATCTGAAGCAGGCTCCAGGCTCTGAGCTGTCAGCACAGAGCCTGACGCAGGGCCCGAACCCACGAACCGTGAGATCATGACCTGAGCGGAAGTCGGCCGCTCAACTGACTGAGCCATCCAGGTGCCCCAACTTTCTTCTTATTTTTAAATGAGACACGGAAAAGACTTCACCCATAATTCAGACCATTTAAATTTTCAGTTGGACACAGAAATGTGTCCTCAGCAATTTTCTGTCACGTCTCTTTTCTCAAGTGTCAACATTAGAAACAGAGTCACGGGGAGCGTGGGGAATGAGCATCTCAGAACGTTCAGGAGGATGCGTGCTTGCGTGCACCATACTGGTCGCGCCCGGGGAGATACTCGAGAGCTTTTAGTGCCGCTAATTGTGCATTTGTGAAGACCAGACAGCTTTCAGTAAATAAATTGGTTTCCTTTTTTTTTTCTTTGTTAAATCTTGATTTAGGGTTTATGAGGAGGAAATTTATCTTTGATTAATAAAACTGCCTTCAGTAGATGAAGGGTGAGACCTGCCAGCCCAGGAAATATTAGCATAAGCATCTCTGAGTCAAAGTTAGTTACATAAGGAAAAAACAGATACTCAGCCACCACCATTGTGGCTCATGGCTTAACTGCCTCTTACTGTTCTTCTGGATCAAAATGTATGTTAGAGACTGAAAGCTAACATTTTATTAACTGATCTTCGGCGTTCACTTAGCAGACCGCCATCTGCGTGGTGCCCATCACCATGCGCTCCAGCCAGGTGCCTTAGCCCCTCTGGCTGCTGTGACAAATTACCGCAGAACCAGTGGCTTCACGCCCCTCAGATGTATTGCCTGGTACTTCTGGAGGTGGGAAGTCTAAACCTGGTTTCACTGAGCTAGAATCAAGGCTTCGACAGCTGCATTCCTCCTGGGAAGGATTCCTTTCTTGCCTGTTCCAGCATCTAGAGGCCCCGGCATCCTCACCTGAGGCTCCCTTCCTCTGTCTCCAGGGCCCGTGAGGTCAGGGCGTCACTCACACCCCGTCACTCTGGCCCCTGCTTTCTCACCTCATTGCTCTCTCTCAGTCAGACCTCACTGCCTCCCTCTCGTAAGGACCCTCATGATTACATGATGTCCTCTCAGATAATCTGGGATAATCTCCCTATCACAGGGCCCTTAATCACATCTGCAAAGTGCCCTTTGTCCCGCAAGGTAACATTCTTCAATTCTGGCCATCAGGACGTGGGCCTCTTTGTGGTGGGGGGTGGGGGCCGTTAGTCTGGGTTCTGGGGTCCTGCTCCCAAGAGGCAGAGAGCCTGGTGAGGGAAATGACTTACTCTTTATTCAGCAAGCACCCGGCGCTGCTTCGACCAGCCTGGGGCTGTTCTCGGCTCTCAGGATATTTCAGTGAAGGAGACAAATGGTACACTTGAGCTTACCTTCTTTCTCTTCTTCTTCTTCTTCTTCTTCTTCTTTTTTAAGTTTATTTGTTTATTCTGAGGGGTGGTAGTGGAAACACAAGCCGGATAGGGGCAGAGGGAGAGAGGAAGAGAATCCCCGCGT